AGATACAAGGACTGCCTGAAACAACATCTCAGCCTTGGCCACACTGATCAACATAACCGGTCTACTCTGGCCTCCAACCAGGAGACATGCAGACACACCATCTATAACACTGTTGCTTCTTTTGAGAACACACGCAGGATCATTCTTGAGGAGAAAAGACAATGCAGAAAGAATCGTGTCTTGCCAATACCGCCTAAGGAAACTTTCCGCTGTGCCTTTTGCAACCGGACTTGTCTGTCTCGCATTGGCCTTTTCAGCCACCAGCACGTTTGTAGCAAGCATGGATAGAATCCTTCTCAAAGCTTCCTTCGCGAAGCCCAGCCATGATGATGAAGTGCAGAATGACGCACTTTGGCTGAGGGACGACTGAAAGGCAGGACCTGTGATGGGTAAAGAAGGCGAGCACGGCAACCCCTGCGCCTCCGTGTCACAGCGTGGGATATCCTGCCGGCCACAGTCAGACGCTCACATTAACGCTCCGCCGCGTTCCCTCGCAGCCTGACCCGCCGCGGGGCTCCGGGACTGTTCGAACGCGGCCCAAGGGCCCCTCCGTCCCGCGTCCCCTCAGCGCTCCCGCCGCCGCCCCCGCGCGTGCGCAGCGCGGGGCCCGCCCCGCACACACACGCACACACGCGCGCACGCGCAGGCGCGGGCGGGGCGGGCGCGCGGCGCTGATGCAAGAGCCGAGCACGGACTGACCCCCGCGGGCCCCGCAGGCCGACAGACCGACCGACAGACAGAGCGACCGACCCACCCACCCACCCCCGGCCTCCCGCACACCCCCCGGCCGCCGACATGTCCGGCGACGAGGTAAGAACCCGCCCGCACCGCCGGGGGAGCCGCGCCCGGGGCCTGCGCCGCGCCGGCGCCGCCGCCGCCATGTGGGCGCCGGGCCTGAGGCCTGAGCGGGCGCGGCCTCCGCCCCGCGCGGGGCCGGGACGGGCCGGGGGTCCCGCCGGGACGGGCGGAGGAACCGCGGCTGTGGGAAGGGGCCGCGGGTGCTGCGGAGGCCTGGATCTCCCCGGGTGCCGCCGGCGGCCGCCCCTGGCGGGGAGAGGCCGGGGAGGGAGGCGGAGGGCCCCGCCAGCGCTTCTCGTTGTGTTCCGTGCCCTTCTACCGTGTAGCCAGTTCACTTATCCATGTCTATGGAGCTTTAAATCTTGGTCTGTAACCCAGAGAACTAAATAGCTCCATCGTAACAAGCGATAACTTCAGGCTTTCCGGGTCTGCTGGTGCTGGCTCGGACACACTTCCAGGGGAGCTGAGTCGTTTGTCTTTGAGAAATTCTTCGGGTGTTGTAGGTGCCGTGTGTTGGCACCTTCACTGGCCTCATTTCCCTCGCTCTCGTGGCGAAAAGGCCCGTTTTACGTGTGTTAAGTGATGGGTAGTGTGGCCTGGGGTGCCCTGGCTGGACCCATGAGATGGATTCATCCATGAGATGGATTCTGCTCCTGGGCTTGTGTCATCTCTCAGGTGGTGTTTCAAATACCTGCGTGGCTTGTTTCCGTCAGAGCAAAGTGAGCACCCAAGCCTTGGAGATAGGAAGGTCATGATTTGTCATTCATAATAAAGAAGAAAAATTATTAATAGTTTTAAAAGGAGCTGAGACTGGCTTACTCAGCTGCTTTAACATCCAGAATGAATATGCTGCATTTGTGTGCCCCATGTGTCGTTGGAGCTGCAGTTGTGATGGCTGGGCTGTACTCTGCACTCATCAGGTGCTTCCTGACTCAGGTGATCCCAGGACCATGGAGTTCATATGGAGTGCCCTGCTTTGGGTTTAGTTTAAGAACCAGCAAGACTATTTTTCTTGCATAATGATTTTTTTTTGCCATTGAGGTGATTCCTGCAGTCTGTAGGACAGTGAAGTTACCTCTGTGGGTTGCTTTATGTGTCAGAGTGACACATAATAGCAGGTAACACAGTTGAACCTGAAGAACTCAGAGTGACAGTTCATGTACTGTGAGAGTCTGTGTGCCTTCCCAACATCTGGTTGTTGGGAGCGGGATAGTTTGGTGTTGATGGTAAGTTGGTGAAACTTTTTGAAGCCTATAAAGTTAAGGAGAGTGAAGACACATCGAGACAAATTGGCACCTCGAGCCGGTGTAGATGGTACAAACTTCGTAGTATTGAACTGTAGCTTAACGTTTTCAGAGCTGTGAACAAATGAAGCTCCCTGGTGGGAGCACCACTGGGTGCTGCCCAGAACTGTGGCACAGCAGGGGCAGCACAGGCCTGGTTTGTGAGGGGAATCAGTCTGTTAACATCTGTTTGGTTTATTAAAGATCCTGCAATGTGTATAATCCCGCCAGAGATGGGAAAGTTCTCTAGATCCTGTATTTTTGTGAAGCTCCAGGCAATAGTGTTAGAGATTGCTGTGTTTTGAGAAAATTTAGGTGCTGATTGGTCTTAATAATTTTGCATCTCATCATAGACATAAGTCAGTGTAGTGTAAGCATTCCTGAGCTCACTTGATCAGGGCAGGGTTGCTGTTTGCTTCCCATGCCTGTGTTTTTTCAGATGAGGAAATGGGATTTATTTGTGACTTCCATTAGAATCCTCAGCATTTGCCACTGTCACAGCAGTTCAGAGTAACCTTGGCTTCTGTCTTGACAGTTGCATTTGGACTGTGAATCTTTGACACTTTTTTCCCCTCTTTTCTTTCACTTGCTAGTTTCTGTATGTTGGGATTTTGACTGTAGGCATTTGAAATAAGGAGCAGGTACATGGAGCTGGATGTGAGAAAGAACCATTTGGTCTGCAGAGGAGAAAACCCCATATGGGAATTTGGCTCTGAGAGCAGAAACAGGATGGGAATTTAAAACCTTTTTGCACAGGAGGAGCACGGATGTTTGGTGTGTTTGGACTGGGGGCTGCAGTTCCTTCAGTAAGAAACCTCTGACTTTCAACACTTAAATGGCATCATAACTAACAAAACATACTGAGTAGAGAAAAGGAGCAAAGAAAGTTCTGAAGCATCCAGCTCAGAGAGCCCAGACATGGAGTGCCCTGGTTGTCAGGCCAGTTCATTTATATCGGGACTTTGTGACCTAAGGCTCTGCCCTTGGTGAACAAAACATTTCAGGCACAGGCCTCCTCTTCCTCCTCAGGTTGTGGGGTCTTACATCACTTTCCTGTGAGCAGGTGGCATGTTATGAGTAAGTCTTGGGTTTGCAGAAGCTTGGCTTGCCCTGGCTGGGGCGGCCCCTCAGAGCAGTGCCCTGCCCAAGGCCAGTGCCTGTTTTTAGTGCTGGAAAGCCACTCTCCTGCATCCAGGAGTTGTCCTTGAGTGTTGACTGGAGTTTAGTGTGGTTGGGCTGAAGTCACAGCCTGTCTCTGCAGACACAAGAGATCCTTTGTGGTGGTTCAGAGTGAGAGGTGTCTTTCCCTTCACAAAGGGAAGAGTGATTTGAGTTTCCTTCTTAGAAACTCTTACGTCTGATCTTATGTTTGCTCCACATGAGGAAATAAAAACCTCTTCAGTCTTGCAAAGCATCTTCATGGAAATGAGTCAGGCATTGTGCCTGTTCCCAAAGCTGTGGACTCTGCTGCTGGAGCAGCTTTCCTTGTGTCCCAGCAGGCTGGGGAGGTTACAGACAGTGTAACCAGTTGGACATACTCTGTGATTTCTGTGCATTACAAGAGCATGATTCACAGCAGTGTCTGAGGAAGCATCAGAGGAAAGCCCTCTGGCAGAACTCTTTAGAAGATCCTTCTAGCACAGTGTGTGCAACTAAAGACACACTTGAGCAGTGTGAAAGCCTCAGTGTGCCAAATATGTGGACACTTTGGGGATGCTGTGCTTCAGAAACCCCTGTGTGCAGTTTACTGCCTTTAGTAGAGCCTTTATGAAACATGTACTTTGCAGAAAATTGGAAGAATATCACAAGAATATCTTGTGGAGGAGAATGAGAAGTGCAAGGAAAAAATGGTTTTGTGGGGAGAGGGAAGGCACCAGACTTGCAGGGTGTAACTGAAGTCAGAGAGCTGCTCTTTGGTGAAGTGCACCCTCACTTTCCTGAGTGAGGCTGTTCATGATGCTGAATTGGAACTCTGTGAGAACACTCTTCCATTACTAGATGAGAAGAACACTGGAGAAAATCTCACTGTCTAAAATTGTGTTAAATCCATACTCTGGTGTGACTGTATGGGCAGGTGTGAGTAACAGAGCTGGCCAACAGCTGATGTCACCTTGCACTGAGATGACAAAAGTAAGAAGCATTAATGTGTTACATTAATTAAAGCATTAATGGAAAACTGGAGAGCTGGTGTGTAAAACACCTCAGGTCTGCAGATGATGAATAGGTTAAAAGTGAATCTCTGAGGTCAGTGCCTTCCTCACAGTCAGACTAGGGGAATTAAGCTGCTTTGCTGGCTAAAGAGCTCATTAACAGCTTTTAATCCCTTGGTGTCTGAGGTTCAGTCTCTCCCCCGGGGGGGAAGAGCTCAGACCTTTGCCATTTCGTGGTGTTGGAGCTGAGGCAGGTCTGTGTAACCAGCCCCTTGTAGGTTTGCCTCTAGTCCAGAGTGTCCTTGTCAAGAGAGTTGTTGCCAGATCCTTCTTTTAATAAATCTGGAAGTTAACGTGTCTCCCAAGTGGAAGTGACTCCTGATCAGACTCTGTGCTTCAGTGATGCTGAGTGTGCACAGTCTTAGTGCAAAACTGGAGTCCAGAATGGTAATAAAATGGAGAAGGAGCTGGTAGCCAGGCTGTCAAAGAGTCACAGCTTTAATGGATTTTTAGCTGAACTCATAACTAGATAATACTAACAACTGGATGGCAGGAAACTTGGACTACAGGAAAAGCAGCTGAAGCTGGAAACTGTCAAACAGGTCTTGCCTTGCAACTGATAAACAGTCGAGATTGAAGGCAAGGAACAGTTTGGGAAACTGAGGGGATGGTGAGAGAAACTTCCAGGTGTTCTAAATAGGAAGTGATGGGTGATTATTGTGCAGCTAAGGAACTCTTTGACTTTTCCAGATGATTTTTGACCCTACTATGAGCAAGAAGAAGAAGAAAAAGAAGAAGCCCTTTATGCTGGATGAGGAAGGAGGAGGAGATACACAAACAGAGGAGACTCAGCAATCAGAAACAAAGGAAGTTGAACCAGAGCCAACAGAAGACAAAGACGTGGAAGCAGATGAAGAAGACAGCAGGAAGAAAGGTAAGGTGAACTCTCCACAGTGGCATTTTGAGACTACAAGCCTTGGCATCCCAGGGTGTAATTGCAGAGCCCTGGTTTGTTCTCAGTGATCTCTGCTGCCTGTTCAGAGGGCACATTTCCCTCCTGCTTGAAATCACGTTCACAGACATCCAGCAAGCTCCCAGTGCTTATGTAATTTCCATTTTCTTTTTGTGTGAGGCAATGAAAAGAGACTCTCCAAAAGAGTGAGGGTGAAGTTTCACATGTTCCACATGCAGTAATTCCATAATTACGGTTCTTTTTCATTGGAATGATCAAGCAATAGTGTGAATAACAGAAACATGGTTTAAAAGGTTTCTGGTTTTTTTGATAAGTGTGAATGTGATAACTGGAGCATTCTTTGGAATCTTTCAGGAAATAAGTATGTGATTGTGTATATAAGCTTACTTTTTAAATTGTGTATATAAGCTTACTTTTTAAATTGTGTATATAAGCTTACTTTTTAAATTGAGGCCAATGGCATTTCAAGATGACCTGATTGAGGGGGCTCTGTTCACTTAAATCCAGTTTGTTGGTAAAATTGGCTCCTGCTGTAGACCAAAGAAACTATACCTTCCTCCTACAGTTTTCTTCTTATTTTTATCAAGCATCTGTAATGACAAAAGTGACTTAATTTCTCTTGTACAATAAAAAGAAAGATTAAACACTTAAAAATCAGAAGATGCAGTTAGAAGATGCAGAAACTGAAACAGTACTGAGGTATTTTGGGTCAGAGGGGAACAATCTCTTATAAACCTGGAGGATATCCATAGAGATCATTGCTCATGTCTTACTGGAATGTTTTGAAGATTTGGATATAAATTAGAAACTTTTAAGTTCTGAACTGTTTCTTCAGTTATACTGTTTTAATCAATCTTTTGGGTTTTTTTAGATACAACAGATGACTTGGATGACTTAAACTTCTTCAATCAAAAGAAAAAGAAGAAAAAAACAAAAAAGATATTTGATATAGATGAAGCAGAAGAAGGTGTAAAGGTTTGTTTGCATAACTAGGCCATCCTGACTATGGTGAAAACTTTCTTGCTTTCTTTTTCTTGGGCTTGGCAGTGCAGGAGTTGTTTCAAATCTGTTGTTGTGTTCATGCTGAAGCTTTACATATCTTTCACATGCAGCAGGTTCTGATGAACACCTTGCTCAAAACCTGACTGCTCTGCACAATCAGCAGTAGTTCTGCAATCTGCAGTAAGGGCTGATTTGCCTCCAGGTTAGTTGTCTTTTGGGGTTAGAGAGGTAAATGGATGTCAGAAGCCATGCACAGAACAGTCCTCTGAAGGCCAGCCCTGCAAATGAAGTGTACACACCTGCCAAGAACTCTGTTTTCCCTCTGGTGTTGTCTTTAGGAAGGATTGGCTCCTGTGCCATGTTCCAGAAGGTGTAGGAGATATTTTTACTCTTCTGGAGTTTTATTCCAAGCGGTGTTTTTGTATCACATGTCACTGGCAAGCCCAGAGAGGACAGAGAAATGTTATGCTACATGTAAAGCTCCACTTCAGATTCTGCCCTTTGGGGAAGGAAATGTCCTTCTGATCTGCCCCAGACAGACAAAATACTTGCTCTGTGTTCTCCCCACGTGCAGAACTGTGGTAATAAGCTGGGGTGGCTGCAGGAAGCACAGCTTTGCCTGCTGGGGAGGGTGTTTAGTTCCCTTATGCCCTCAAATGGCTGTTGCCTTTGAGTATAGCATGACCTTGTCCTTGAAGTCAGACCAGAGGGTAAAAGTGTGGCCCTGCTTGTGGTAGGAGTGCAGGACTCCCTTCAACAGCCTTAATTCCACTGTTCCCTGTTGAGCTCCAGGGCTGTGGTGGATGTTACCAGTATCCACCTCGTACAGTGTGCCCCTCGTGGTGTTTGTGATGCTGTGCAGTGGGGATTGGTGTTTAATGCTCTAAACTGTAGTCCTGTTTCTTGCAGGAATTGAAAATTGAAGGAGATGTGCCAGAGGCAGTAGAACCTGAAGATGACCTTGATATCATGCTGGGCAATAAAAAGAAGAAAAAGAAGAATGTGAAGTTTCCAGATGAAGATGAGATAATGGAGAAGGATGAAGGTAGAAGTATAACCTAGCTCAGTGAGGTGCTGAAAGGGAAATGTAGTCCATCTTGTAGGTGAATAAGTTCTGTTCAAGTGCCTTTTTTGTTCCAAAAGTCACTTGTCCTGTATGAATTTCCCTTTAGTGCTGGTGTCCCTTGTAGACAAACAGAAAAGACTTGAGTCCACACCTTAGTGGAATCTTCTTTGATGACCCTTTTAGAAATGCTGTAAGCAAGAAGTTAAACAGTGTTTCTTTTTTTTTAATGAATCCCCAAAACCTTCCTTTACAGCATTTGAGGATGAAGACAGCAAAAAAGATGATGGAATTTCTTTTAGCCTTCAGTCAGGACCTGCGTGGGCAGGCTCGGAAAGGGACTACACATATGATGAGGTAACGTTCCAAAGGCTTCTAAAAAACATTGTCCATGTTCATCTGCATCAGTAGAGCCTTATCTTGCCTATTTTTAACCTAAAGGACTTGTATTCAGGGGGTCAGGAACAAAAAACAACAAAGCCCGTGTTCTGTCACAGTTAATTATCACACGGGGCAGTATTGGTGATAGTTCAGACACCTCTGCAGGTGGGCTGGGGTGCTGGTCGTTGTGAAGCAAACCCTGGGGGAAACAGTGTTTAGATTTTGCATTTATCAGAGCATCTGAAGTGTGTCAGTTTTGCATTTATCAGAGCATCTGAAGTGTGTNAGTTTTGCATTTATCAGAGCATCTGAAGTGTGTCAGTTTTGCATTTATCAGAGCATCTGAAGTGTGTTCCAGAGCACATGAGGAAATGCTGGTGAGCAAAGACAGTGTGATACTCACTGTTAATGCTGGTTCAGGTGTTTTTGGAAGTGAGGGGCTCACCTGAGAACTTCAAGCTGCTCATGGCTGTGAATCCTTCTCTTGCAGCTGCTCAATAGAGTTTTTAACATCATGCGGGAAAAAAACCCGGATATGGTGGCTGGAGAAAAACGGAAATTTGTCATGAAGCCTCCTCAGGTTGTGAGAGTAGGGACCAAGAAAACATCTTTTGTCAACTTCACAGATATCTGCAAATTGTAAGTGTGCTCTTTGGACTTCCCAAGAATAGCAGATGGATTCTGTGCTCGTGGCTGGGGTGTTGAAGGGATGTTTTCTGGCAAATCAGAAGCTATTTTAGTCATTACCTCTCCATTTCTCTGGGAGAAGATATTTATGAAAATGATTTATTGAGATAATTTCTTATTTTATACTTAAATTAGGACAGTGGCAGGGCTGCTACATGGGCCTCTTGGACTGAAACTTTGGGAGTTCATTGGCCTTTATCAAGTCCAGTCACCAGTGATATTTATTTGCAAGTGTTGAGCAGGAGGGTGGGGAAAGTTCTTTCTAATTTGAACTGACTACAAATACTGTTCTCTTGGTAAATGGTCTGGAGTCCAGTAATGTTTTCCCACTGTTTCCTGCAGTGCTTTCTATGTCTTAATTATGTCTTGTGAAGGCAATTCTGTTCTTTGTGAGCACTTCTGGGAATGCAGCTCTGATTGGTTCCATGTGTGTGCCAGAAAACAGTCCTGCTGAAATCCCACTGAGGATCTGGGCACTGTACTAAAAGGGATTTTTAATGGTAGCTACTGGCATTTTTTTCAGGGGATGGGAGAGTAAGAATGGAAAATCTCAAATAGAAAACTTATTTTCAGTAGTCACTGTAATTGTGAGTTTGGTTTGGGGGGAATGGTGGAGGGTTTTTTTTGTGTGGACTGGTCAGGTTTCTCGTGTCCTTGGCCACTGTCTTTGGTGCAGACCCTCTGGCACTGCCCCCTTTTAGACTTGGTAATTTTTCCCCTGCCATTCCTGTATAAATACCAGATTTCTTGGAAGGGGGAAGGCTAAACATACTGTTCCTTTGTTTTTAGATTACATCGTCAGCCCAAACATCTCCTGGCATTTTTGTTGGCAGAATTGGGTACAAGGTAAGGCTGCTGGGCTGTGTTTTATAGTGATACATAACAAATGCCCATTTGATTGGGCTTTGGAGTCTTTTGTGCTCCAGATGACTTAAAAAATTAGAAACCAGAATGTGACAAAACATTCCATTTACTACATTAGAATGTTTAGAGGATGATCTTATTACTCAGATTACACCTTTCTAGAGAGCTGTGTTAATTCTCAGCTCGAAGTTCTTCTGATTAGGAACCTTAACTGTGCTGGGGTTTGCTTTTGCTTGGGCAAAACTTCCTGCAGGATTTTAAATGCCTTCAGAATTCTGCATTTTTTTCCCCCAAAGCAACTCAGTCTTACTCTTCCCTTGAAGAACACACTGTTACCTCTCTTCGTGTTCATGACTTGTTTTAACACTTCACATCTTCTGCAAATCAACCCATTGATTTTTTTTTTCTTTTAAATTAGTGGCTCAATAGATGGTAACAACCAGCTTGTAATCAAAGGAAGATTCCAGCAAAAACAGATAGAAAATGTCTTGAGAAGATATATCAGTAAGTAGAACTCCCTTTGCCACTACAGATTTCTCTCAGGCCCGTGTGTGTGGGCACAGTGGACAGTCTGGGCTAACCAGCCACAACTTTATGCAATATGGAATAATTTATGAAATAGTTCAAATACTGGTGGCTCTGCCAGGGTTACAGTAACCACATAGTCATACCCTGTCATGCATTAAAGCATGCCAAGGAAAACAGTGAGAGCATTTGAGAACTGCTTGTTTTCATTTCTTGGCTGTGATGAGGACTATGGCAAACACCAGTAATTGTTAATTTTGAAGTCTGTTGTACACATGAATTAGCAGATGCAGTGTGTGTGTCACTGCTGGGCAGAAGACTCATGACCACATTACATGTAACAAAATATTTAGTGCTGTGCCTGCCCCAGAGTTGCTGACACCTGGGAATGCTGCTTCAGCAGAGGAACTGAGGGAACAACAGTGGGAAGCTTTAACTGGTTATTATTTTGAAAATCCCAGTGTCAGTGTGATGCCTTAGAAGACATATAGATTTTAGCACAGCTTTTTAGCACTTTAGAACCTTTAGGTAAACACCCTTTGTACCAAATTTTTGAAATATTGTTTAATATTTCTTGTCAAGGATTTCAATAGAGATTTTCAGCAAGGCAGAGAACATCTTATTTGTAGAGAGTGTACCTAGAAAGGACACATTGCTTGATATAACCTAGTCAAAACTACTCAGAGAGGACCCAGAGGCCTTGACATTGGTCCAAGCAGAGGATCATGATGAAGATGAAGGTGGGAGGAAGGGTGGTCTTTTTGAGACCCCTGACCCAACTCAGGAGGTGTTGCCTGAGGGAGGTCCCATGGGATGGACTGTTTGGGAACTGGGTGTAACCTGTGATGTGATGATCAAATATTATAAGCAACTAGTGTTCTAAAATTGTGAGGCCTCTGCTGTGTGGGGGGCAGTATGTATGTTGTGCCCTTAAAAAACTGCTCTTTACCTTCCTATATTTAAAATTGTCCAGAGAATGTTTTCTTCAAT